GGGCGGAGGGAGAAGGGTAATTCCAAGTCCCATGAAGGTTGCCCAGAAGCACAAGCTGAGAGTCACACATCTTCCTCCAAACTTTCCTGTGGAGCTGGCACCCTGGATTCAGAATTCCAGCTTCCTGCACTGCGAGAAAACACGTTTGTGTTGGTTAAACCACCCGTCTGGGGCACTTCTGTTATAGCCGCTCATTAATAATGAACATTGGATTCAGAACTGAGAAGCTGAGGTGCTGTTCTAACAATACCTACAACATGGAAGCGATTTGGGAATTGGATGGCGGCTTGAGGCTGGAAGATCTGAAGGATCCTAGTGGTCAAAGTGCATAGGAACCCTGCAGGGCAGACTTGAACTGCTCCTGTCAGTTTCCAAGACTAGGGATCTAAGCTGGAGTAGAAACCTCTTCTGTCTCCCACAGAAAGGCGGGTGGCTTTAAATCAACGGTCTTGTGGTTAGCAGCCCAACGCCTAACCCACTATGCTACTATGAGAAATCAAATCAATGGCAGTGAGTTTGAAGGAGGTTTTGCTCGTTTGTTTTGAGAGTGGACGTCTAGGTTACCTTGAACAGACTGCCCCAGGGGCAGATGAGTGGGGCCTGCTGGGGCCCAGGGGGTGAGGTCACCACTCAGGTGGAGTAGGAGAATGGACCCACCCAAGCCAAGCGAGAAGAGTAGCTATCCTAGTGGGCTTGGGAGGTAGAGCTGAAGGTCCGGGGTTTCTACCCGGAATCCAGAGAGCACGGCTCACACCCTGTTGTTCGGACAGCCTTAGGAGACGATGGTTTTCAATCTGTTAGCGTTCATGTACTTTGTACTACTGGGTTTTGGACTTGTTTGTATCTGTTATTCTCTCTTTTCCTCCGTATTCTTCCACTTGTAATAGAACTATCTACCTGGTGTCTATTTCATCATCGTACTTTAGAAACAAGTAAATAGAGTGTAGACACCACAGGTTCACAGATGAAGAGGAATTTTGCCCAAGATGGAATTTTGCCCCAGGATGGAAGTCTCATCCATACTCAATTTAGATGGTTCAGAAAATGATTTTGGACTTGAAGCTGATTTAGGACTTTTGCAATGATGAGTATGTTTTACACGTAGCAAGGGCATGAACTAGCGTGGTGGTGGTCAAAGGGTGGAAAGTTGTAGACTGAATTATGTCCCTCCCCAAATCTGTTCTAAATCCTAAACTCTACACCCGTGGATATAATCCCATTTGGGAACGAGTTGCCTTGATAGGTTATTAAGGCAGGATTAGTGTGATTAGTGTAGGTGTATCTTAAGTCAATTTCTTTGGAGCGATCAAAGAGATTAAACAAGCAGCAGAGCAGAGACAGGGGAAGATGGGTGCCAAGCCGCATGAAGGTTGTCCAGGAGCTCAAAGAGATCTTTCTCCAGAGCTGACAGAGAGAGAGAAAGTCAGTCTTCCCGTAGGGCTGGCCTTGTGAATTCAGACTCTTCCTAAACCGTGAGAAAATACATTTTTGTATGTTAAAGTCACCCACTAGCAGTATTTATGTTATATCAGCACTAGATAACCAAGATACTAAATAGCTCGATCCTAAGTCTCAATTGAGTAGAGAAAGACTGAAATGGCTCTCTGAAGGAGCAGTACATTGAAGAACAGCAGATCCTTCCTGGATTGGCAAAGGACGCTGGCCCGACCCTTGGGCCGAGTTTTCTCTGAACACTAGCGCAGTCATCCTTTTAGGAAGCCCCTGAATCTGTACAAATGGTGTTCATACCAGAAACCCAGAAGAATTGTCCAGCAGGCAGCGGAACCGGCAGACAAAGCTTCTCTCCAGATAGGAGGGGTCTTCCCAAAGTAGATGCTGATGGCTGTCGGAGGCAGCTCTAGTAAGGGGCTGGGGTCTCTCTCCAGGAAGAGCTGGGAGGAGAGAGAGAGACAAAAGGAAGAGGTTCTGCCTGAACAATCCTTGTCCCAGGGCTGAAATGGCTGGACGGTATGGAAACTGTAGGTCACAAACCCACTGGCCAAGTGAGTTGTGGCCTTCACCAACAGGAGGATCTTGATGACCAGCCACTCTCATCCATTAGATCATGCTACCAGACCTGCCTGGTAGCGTCACGGTGTCGTGAGATTCAAGGTCAAACAGATGATTTGCATCAACACGTGCACCTGGTCACTAGCGCTTCAGTTGAAATCTACCCACAGCCAACTACTGCTCATCACTTAAACCTCTCTCTGCTGTGCTGTCCAGTCCCTGGTTCTAAGTGGGCCACCCGCTGTGGTGGTGGAGAACATGGATCCTGGCATCGGACAGGAGCCTTACCTTCTGTGTGATTCAGTTTGGGTTACTTAATGCTCTGTGGGTCTCAGTGTTCTTATCTGGGAGAATGATGAGGGCAATGAATGTACAAATGTGCTTTACACAATTGATGTATGTATGGATTGTGATAAGAGTTGTATGAGCCCCTAATAAAACAATTCTTCAAAAAAGAGCTCTTATCTGTACCAGTGTACATGTTCTGGTCTAGCTGGATTTGTAAGATAGAACTGGGCCATGATATTGGGGGAGTGGGGGGAAGAAGCATTAAAGAACTAGAGGAATGTTGTACGTTTCGTCAGGGCTGTACTGCACCCTGACTGGCTCAGCCCTTCCTTGTGGCCCTTCTGTGAGGGTATGTCCAAGGGTCTATAGATGGGCTTTGGGTCCCCACTCCTATCCCCTCTCATTCACATCGATATGATTGTTTGGTTTTGGTCTTGATACCTGATCCTGTCAACACCTCGTGATCACACAGACTGGTGTGCTTCTTCCATGTGGGCTTTGTTGCTTCCCAGCTAGATGGCCACTTGTTTAACTTCAAGCCTTTAAGACTCCAGGCGCTATATCCTTTAATAGCCAGGCACCACTGCTTTCTTCACCACATTTGCTTATGCACCCGCTTTGTCCTTAGTGATCATGTTAGAAAGGTGAGCATCACAGAATGCCAGGTTATGAGACCAAAGTGTTCTTGCATTGAGAGAGTACTTGAGTAGAGGACCAATGTCCATCAGGTGCCGTAGTACTTAACATATAAATATAAGTACAGAGATCTATGTCTCTATCGCTATACATAAATATATTTACATATGTATGTGCCTGTATTTATACATCTCTAAATGTCCTTTGCCTCTTAGTTCTTTCCTCTACATCCCTTTACTTTCCTCCTGTCCTGCTATCATGTTCAACCTTCATTCGGCTTTCAATAATTCCTCTGGGCTGCATTGCATTTGACCATATCCCACCAGGCATTCCACACTCTCCTCGCCGTCGGTTTTAGATCTTTTGTTGTTTCCTTGTCCCTGGGTTTGTTGGCTCCCTCTTTCTTTCTCCAAGAAAAATAAGTCATTCTCTTATTGGTGTCCGGTGTTATTCTTTCATTTAATACCCCAAGAAGAATAGTGGAACTCATGCCAACCTATCACAAATGGAAATCACCTTAGACCAATCTAGTGATCAAAGGTGGGCTAGCTGCTCCCCGCACCCCACCAAGGACTGCCTCTGAGTTCCCAGTCTCAGGGTGCGCGCTCTGATCACTTCCAGGGTTTGGAGTAAGAGCTTTTGCAGAGCCCATACTCAGCTTCCTCCCGAGCTTCTGTTCTTTGGTCGCCCTTGGAACGAGCTCTGTTTCTTTAACTGAAAAATAACCAGAATGGTTACAGACAAGACAACAAACCCACGCCCGCATTCGCCTCAGAGCAAAGACAGCAACCCCATGCCCTAGTCTTGTTTTCTTGCTTTCAGAGGATCAATGAGCTCACAGGCTTGGGGGGGTCTGTTTGCTGTGGGGGTCCTGCACCAGCAGCGCTACCTGATGCCTCAATGACACAGGTGTCCTTCCTCTCCTTCCTGCATGTACCTGCAACCAAACGAGGGCTCCATCCATGCTTACTTAATATCATGTATGTTCTAGCTGAGAAACAAAGCCCAGTTCCCCACTCGGGTGTCCTCCTCTCGGCCTGTAAGGTCCAGGCCCTGTGGGTGAAAACACGCGCATACAGAGTCGACATGGTGTCCCAGCCCATTTTCCTCCATGCCTCGGGTACTTACGGCTGGTGTCCTCCTCGGGTGCTCTGCTGGTGGGTTCTGGGTCTGGTGACCAGCGCAACTGGCTCTGGAACATGGGTCGATCCTCCTTGTGGATCAGCTCAAACACACTCTGATGGATGATGTCTGACTGCAAGGACAGAGGCAGCATTATGCTGCTGCTGGGACCGCTTCCTGCCTTCCAGTGTCGCAGTAAGGGCCAGTCACCCTACATATCTCTGAGCCAGCCCGGCCCATCTGAGGTCCTTCCTAGGTGACCCGGCAGTCTGGCCTCATGCATCTGCTGTTGGCACTCTGTCCCTAGTCCTTCTTGCAGTCCTCACAGTCCATCCTCTTGGGCTGCTGCTGTCCCCAAACCTAGGATGCATCTCACAAGAGAGGCACTCCATGGAGGGAGTGTCCAAGGGTTAAGTCACAGCGAAGTAACAAGGGGACACCTGAGATGGGGACATAGGTGGCAGTTACTGAAATCGCTCCGGAGAGTTGGTTTGAAGCACAATGAAAGGAGGAAGGTGAGCTTCCCTGGAAATCTAGCATCAGTTCTAGTGGATAACACAATTAAATGGATGGAGGAAATAAAATAAATCTAATTTCTAGGGAGATCAGAGTTTGTTCTGCTATTTGTTGAATGAGGTGAGGGAATAGAAAACTGAATATAATTTCTTCGGAACTGAGTTTGGTTAAACTTAGTAACTTGATTCAGGAATAAGAATGAACATATCTGGTCTCGCACAGCTTCTATAATGCTTTTAGAGTGCTCAATTTTT